ATTCGGATAGGACAAGGGAAGGCTGAGGATTGAGCTGGGACACCCAGAAGCGTCTAATAGCCAGGGCTGGAGGAAGGTTTCTGAAGGATCCTGGGGGCTGCCTGACAGGAATAGGCATGGGGATAGATGCAGGGCTCTCCAGGGGGATGGCGAGAGCAGCCTCTGGGCTGTCGACACTCTAGAGGGTACACTGGGAGGCCAGAGGGCCCTAGAAGGGCCAGGTGGGCTGTAATAAGCCAGGCTGATAGAGAGGGAAATACGACTTCTAGATTTTATTTCACTCTTTTTTTTTCTCTTCACAACTTAGAAAGTTGCTTTTGAAAACTCTGTTCCATCTCTGTTGAACTCAGGGAAGGGAAAGTCCAGAGGCTGGTGGAGGAGAGGGAGGAACAGTGCCAGCCTCCTCTACACACCCGTGAAGTGCGCTGGTCGGAGGTCGCACTTCTCCAGCAGCCCTGGACAGTGCTTGGTGTCAGGACCAGCACCCTCCTAGCCACCCTCCTCAGTCCAAGACCAGCCTGCGGGCTTGGCACCAGGGCCATGGCCCTACTCCACTAGTCCCCCGCTGGCCCACAGTGGAATCATCTTCTCAAGTTTCTGGTAATTTTATCAGGGCTGCATCGTGTTGCTAAAGCTACAGATAACATCTGCCTATGGGTAACTCTTCCCTGTCAGAGCCCCCCGAAGCTGGACCCAGGCTCAGAGGAGGGACACTGGGGTATGGAATGAGTTTGGGGGCACGAGGGTCTATTAGGCAGAAGCAGGCTGGCTGGGATGCTGGAATGGTGTGGAGGTGCACTGACGTTTGCCACTGGAGCCTATGGGACAGGGGGGCTGGAGCCTGGCGGGGGGCTGTAGAGGCCCCTTAGCTCCTGGACCTGTTGTACATTGTCTCCTGATATCTCCAGCTAGACCCTACTGACAACTCCCTAAGCCTGGGTGCAGACACAAAGAGCCACCCCACTCCAGGCCAGGCAGAATGACAGGCCCCCAGCACAGGTCCACCTTAACTGGGCAGCCCTCTGGGCGGGGCACGCCTCTGATGCCATCTTCGTGGACGGCAGCCCCAGGCTGAGTGCAGAACAGGCTTGCGCAGCACCCGCAGCTTCCAGCCTGCTGCCCTGGCCCCTCAGGCTGGGTGTGCAGCCCAGCACCATGATGCAGGGTGCCTCAGAGCCTGGTGGCCCTGGCTGGGGCTGGGACGGGGATGGAGACGATGACTGGGACAGCGCTGTGCTCACCTTGCTGGCTTTGGCTGTTGTGGCTGCCACGGCCCTGGCCTTGCACTGGTTTGGCTCTGGGCAGGACCAGGAGGCAGCAGGACCAGCGTCCACAGGCCCCCAAGCCCAGCCTTCTCAGGCCGGAGGAGCTGGGCCAGCTCTGACCCCAAAGTCCAAGGTCAGTGGTGGCGTCGAGGGTCACAGCTCCAAGCAGGAGAAGCCACACCCTCCAGGACCCGGCCAGGAGAGTCCAGCTACAGCGAGCACCCAGGACCACCAGCCCCCGGGAAGTTGCGATCTGACTGCCACAGCCCCACCTCCACTCAAGACGCCTGGTGAGGCAGCCAGTGGAGGGGCCTTGGGACAGCAGCGTGGTAATTCCACCCCAGATGCCTCCCAAGGTAAAGGAAAGGAGCAGCTGGGGCCAGGCACTGCCCTCCTGGGTAGGAACAAAGCAGGGGGGACACCTGCCCCTCTCCTGATTCACTTCATTCCTCGGAGTCCGGACAGAGAAGTGGAGGTGCAGGCGGAGGCAGGAGGCATCCGAGCCAAGGCGCCAGCTCACCAGGCCCCAGTCCACACAGTGGAACAGGATACCAGCTCCTGGAAACAAGGGGCAGGGCCACCTGGCTCACTGGGCAGAGGTTCAGGCAGCCTGCGGAGGCAGGTGGATGACAGCTCGGGAGATAGAACCCGCCGCCGCCTCCCAAAGCTGGACCCCCTGCGCTTGGGCGCTGTGGTGAGTGTGTGGGATGCTGTGGATGCAGCCAAAAGCTGCTCTGCAGGTGCCCTGAGGCTCCCTTATCCCCAGGAGCTGCCCCCACCAGACTCCGTACAGACTGGGCGCCTGGCATATGGCTCAGAGAGGGGATGTGGGAAAAGTAGCCCCCAAGCAGACTCAGTTTTAGCTCAGGATTCTCGGGCCAACGCTGGTGAGAACAGGGAGATTGGGGCCTGGGCTCCCAGGGAGTCTCAGGGGTCCCCAGCCTCCATGGAAGGCTGGCCCTGGGAAAGGAGGGAGGTCCTTGTCCCGAGGAGCTTCAGCCAGACCCCAGGGCCCCTGGGCCCATGGCCAGAGGGGCAGCGGTGGGGACACACTCTCTTGTCCCAAGGTCAGAGGACCACAGTGGCCTGCACTGTGGGAAAGGCTGGGGCTAACGGCTCTGGAGAGCCAGGCAGGACAGAAAAGCAAGGGGCTCATAGTGTCGGAAAAGGGAGAGGATTCCCACTAGGCCAAGGGGAGCAGAGCAGTAGGCAGGCGGCTGGTGGTCTGGACAAAGGAAAGCCAGCCACAGATGGCCTCAGTTGTGCCCCTGCCCCATATCCCTCAGCCACACCCCCTCTATGCATGCCTAAGCTCCTCTTACCCTCAGCTTCCCCGACTGAAGCACATCCCCACCAAGACCTCTTACCTGCAGTCCCAACTCTTCCAACTTCCTCTCCTTCACACTCTTTGCCCCTCAGAGTTGACGAGGGTCCAGCTAAGGATGAAAATCTCAGAGCAGTGCTAGCCCCAGTTGAAGCTCCAGTCCCAGCCCCAGCCCCTGCCCCAACTTCAGCCCCAGCCCCAACTTTAGCCCCAGCT